TCAAGAGAGTCTGGAGCAAGAATGTGCTGTGGAGATTCATTCCCCATACACTGATGATTTAGCTTGGGCATTGACTTGTCGTATGATACAAGTTTTCTTTGGATATTCGATTCATGATTGGACTAAGATTCAGCTTGATCCCACGAGGATCATCCTCTGTTATCACTGATAACAAGTCGATTGGTTGATCGCCGACTCGTCGGCTCATGACATAACTTTGCTTACACCTGTACCTCAACTTGATTGCCTTAGCCCTGAGATTTGATATGTTTCTTTGAGGGTTTTAACCGGACTTCTTTTAATGACCATTATAAAAAACTTATCAGATTTATGAAAAATTTGACTATGACTGGGGCTTGAGTGTGTGAGGCGTAGTGTGAGTTACAGGGAATAGTAAAGTTAACCACATTGGTGTATGGCAATGTGACTATTGTGTGTGTCTGTGTTTTATGCAGGTTAGTATTTTGGAGTTTGGTATATAAGTCGTACCTTGAAGACAGTGAGAATGATAATCATGTGATGCACGATTTGCATACCTGATGGGTTTATGTTTCCCCCTTTTTTTATTTTATCTCGAGTTCTGATTTGATATATGAGTGTTGGGTGTTTACTTATTTACTGATTGATTTTGCTTATTAATTTTTATAGTTGAACGTTGTAGTCTGTGGCAGCCGTCAAAGTCAAACTCCTTGACTTCTTTCCAGACCCTGGATGAGAGAGTTGGTCTCCAGGGCAATAAGAGACGATTGCCACCACAGGTATGAACCTGTGTACCACCCACTCTCCGCATGGTGCAGAAGAGGGTGTGATTTTCAACCGCGCTTGGCGGTTGTCCAGCGTCGAGAGATCAATCCCTCAAGGCGCATGCCAGCCGACACTTGAGTGTCGAATGCGACCTTCGAGATTAGTGAGGGTTTTCGCAGTTTTGAAAAGCGAAATTCGTTATAAACAGGTTCGCGAAAACAAGCCTCTAGCGAGGCCTGTAAATGAATGGGAGAATTGACTTGAAAAGTCAACAGTATTTTGAACTTTTTTTCCATTTGTTGACATAAGACTGCTTGCACGGTTTGTTTGCAATTTGGTGCGCAGCGTGTAATCATATAAGGATTGCATGAGTATGGGTACTACATAGTACGCCATCATTGCGACTGCTCACGTATTTATGCATTGTTAGTCGATATGAGAAGACCCTGCGTCCGCGCGACTTTATACTAAGTCTCGCGCGCGATACCTATCCATTTCCGCATCGGAGAGTTATGGGATGGCTACTAAGGGACGAGGAGTGTTGTCACGTTGTTTGTTCTGAATCGTTCTGTATATATGCGTGTGCGTGCGTGTTTTAACTTTTATGTTCTTAGAGTGGTGTACGTGTGGTTTGTGGGATGCGTCATAGTCGACCGACGACGGGTCGCGCTTGGGACTTCAGCCCCCCAAGACGTCGGTTCGCATGCGGGTCCGATAAAGGCGTAAAGTCGCGCATACCTCCTAAGCTACAACGAACGAGAAACGTCCTTGGCTAGTCCACCTCTGCGATTGCAACTGATTAGCTTTCATATTGTGGACTAGTAGCTTGGCGAGGATACACCCACCGAAGGGAGGTGACAGCTCCCGTAAGGTGGAGGTAAGTCGTGCCTCACGTAGGCCCTATCTTGTCGTAGGGGTTCGCGAGAGGTATGCCTGGCGCACTCGGCCAGACGGCTTGCGGAAGCTCCATGTATATTCGCGACGAGGATCAGACCAACTCCTGCATGACGCGGCCGGGAGGGTCCCCCCCCGTTTCGTGCGGTGCCGGACCGATGCGCTCGACAACGTCTGTCTTCTCTCGCGACCCGGACCCAATCCCCCAAAAATTTCCCTATCGAACAGGGAACGAACGGGTCTGTGAATGAGACATTGAACGGTCCTTAAGCGCAATCCTCTTTCCCTCCCAATTCCCCAGCTCACACGTAACCCACGTCATCGCCGAACCTAGTATCGTCATCCTTGAAACGGACTTCCCTCCCTACCGCCTCATATTGTCTTTCCATTGTCCGACTGTCGCCTCTTGGCACGCGATCGCCCCCTACTGGCCCCGTACCTCGTGCTCCGAGTGCCAGCAAGATAGAGAGTGCCGAGCCGCGGGATTCGTTCGACGAACCCGGATCGAGGCCGAGCAACGAGCAGACAACCTCCGTCTGAGGCCGGCCTCGTCGGATTCTGAGGCTTGCCACGAGCGACGCCAGCAGCTGTTCAGGCGACACAACCCCCATAGCGTTCCACTAGTTCATCAAATTCGAACCCGGCCCCGTCGCGGAAACCCGCAGGGATGGTAACTTCACTTCCGAAAGCATAAGAGCTAGACGCGACCGACACCTACCATCTTGCACAACTGTCCCTGAAATTTGCCACCTGAGATCCCAGTTCCGACTTGGGACTCCACCCCCCCACTTTCCTAAAATCCTTGGCACACCCCTCTTCGCACTTCCAGGCCCCCGCCGCCCCCATTCCACTCCGATCAGGAAGTCGCGTTGGGCATGAGGTTGGGCGTCACAGTAGAACCATCACCAATAAGGCAACAGGGACAGAAGGCAAGTAGCAAGAGGTGAGCCTGGAAACTGGCACAAGGACCAACACAGTAATGAACGGGAATTGTAAGACCCGAGCAAACAGGTGGGAACGAATAACAGCAAACAACACCCCGCAAAGGGAGCATCAGTTGGCACTATGAAGACAAATGCATCCAGGCCCGGAGATGGGATAAAGAGACCGAGCGACCCTGTGATGTACCAAATGGATTCAAATGTACTCTATTCGCAGCTCCCTAGTTGGTGGGGCCCCGATGGTGTAGGATATGGGATGAATGGATATTGAGAGAGTGCAAGGCTTGATGAGTGTAAAAGAGTTCAAAGGGTTTAAAGGGTTTAAAGGGTTTAAACAAGGGGGGGCTGCTGAAGAAGGTTGGGACGATAGATAAGGGGCGTTTCAAGTGGGGATGGGTGATATAGGCAGCTCCATGGGACAGTGAAGCCCCGACTGAAAAGTCTAATGGCCACAGTCCTGCCAAATCACGATTACCAATCTGTGTGTTGAAAGATGTAGTACAATGTTCTACAAGTCATGTGCCCAAGAGGGGAGGTAGGGGAATGGGAGGTTTGGTGCCTGCATGCTCTGGAACCAGTGATAGGGGATACCACCTGCCTCCAAGGTTGATAGTTGAAGCTAGGCTTCTGGGAGTTGTGTAGCTCCATCTCCCCCCTCCTAGCACGGGTCATGCTGCTGCTTGTTGCAACAATCTTATGTCCGTACAAACAACCAATTATGATGTTTAGGGACGCTGGACCCCATTTCCAGCAGGTGCTGCTCCCCACCAATAGATGGAGCCTCCCCAAGTGTGTTAGTGGTGTCTGCTCTTATCAGTACCTCTAGCATCGCCTCGGGCTGTTTTTAAAAAAATAATAATAAAAAAAAAAAATCTACACTGTTGGGGATCTCTGGGACTCCGTTGCGCATAATTGGGCCACACCGGAAAAGTTGCAGGCCAAGCTGAAGCACATAAAGAATGTGGTCGGAAAGGCCTGCCGAAAAGTATAAGCCCTTCCTCTGGCCTGGTGTCAAACCCTCAAAACTGGCCCGACGATTCAACCGCAAGGCTCGGTGGTCAGGTACACTGACCTGCTCAGACCGGCCACCGTCTACGAGGTGCACAACACTGATGGTAGGAAGTGCACACTGAAAGCCTTTGTCCTGCACACCCCAGGAGTGAGGTTTTCTCAATTTGCCCGGAATTAGGAGTTGAATACCAAGAGTTGTTTTTGCAGGAAACATTTTTCGTGCAAGCGCTGGTCGGTAAGCGCTCCCGCCCGCGCCGATTTTCGAAGTGTTACAAGCGCGAAATTTCGCATGCGTTCGGTACACGCCATCGTCGAAAACGACACACGCCATCGCTGTAGAGGAAGTTGCCCCCCGCCGCGCCCTTCGGGTGTGGCCGTGTGGGTTGAAGAGGACGAAGTGTGCATACACCATTGTCGACGTTTTGGAAGACCAGGAGTTACAGCCGCCAACGTTGCTGATCGTATGTCGTCGTTGAAGAGTTGCTGGTAAAGGAAACCCAACCGCTATGCTGCTCCTAATGGCGTGACCATACCTTCCTCGACCAAAGAGTGCAGACCCCCCACTAACGCCCTCTTCTCTTCACTACTTCGCCCCTTCACTACTCCTCCACGACCTCTCCCCCACATCGACCTCCTGTGGGCTGTTTCTCCTAATGAGTTGCCATCCCACTCCCAGTTGCTTCCTCCCTTCCTAGCAATGACATAACCCCCACGTCCTCCCTACAAACCTCCCTTCATCTGATCAATTCCTTCACCCGAACTTTGGGTTCCCTCTCACTTGTTTCACTTCTTCTCCCCCAACCGCCCGCCGGACGTACGACGGTCTTCCTTCTATCCTAGTCAATCGGCGGCCCCATCCCCCCCACGACCGGGTTCCAGCATCTCTCTCCGACCTTTCCCCCCATATAACCTCAATATTTTTTTTCTTGCTCTCAACCTTCGACCTACCATATCCCTCCGCCTATTCGTCTCGCCGGTACTCCGCTTCAGCAAGGCTGCTCCCCCCCCCCCCCATCATTCCCTTCCTTTCTCTCGCCCACCCTCTCCTTCTCGTCCATCCCTTCGCCGCCTCCATCATCCTTCTCCGTCTCCCTCACAACCCACCTCGGTTCTATCTCACCCCAGATTCGATCCTCACCCGATCCCTCCCAGATTCCAACCCGATCTCGTTTCGAACCCTAGACCGATACCATCCCCACCCCAATCCCGACTTCATTTCACCCCGATCCCGAATCGCTCCCACTTCGACTCCACCCCGACCCCACCCCGAGCCCAACCCGGTCCTACCCGGATCCCATCTCGATCCTATCTCGATCCCATCCCGGTTCCATCTCGACCCTACCTCGATCCCACCCGGGTTCCACCCTAACCCAGATTCGAAACCTACCCGATCCCTCCCCGACTCCAACCAGATCTAGCTTTGAACCCCATGCCGGTACCATCCCCACCCCAACCCGAAGTTGATCTCACCCTGACCTCGATTCGCTCCGAGCTCGACCCCACACCTCGATCCCATCCCGACCCCACCCCGATCCTAACACGATCTCACCCTGACCCCATATCGATCCTACCTCGACCCCAACCCGGTTCCATCCCGATCCTACCTCGATCCCACACCGCTTCCATCCTGATCCAATCTCGAATCCTACCCGATCCCTCCCAGATTCCAACCCGATCTCGTATCGAACCCCACACTGATACCATCCCCACCCCAATCCCGATTCGATCTCACCCCGATCCTGATTCGCTCCCACTTCGACTCCACCCCGACCCCACACCGACCCCAACCCGGTCCTACCCTGATCCCATCTCAATCCTACCCCGATCCCAATCCGGTTCCATCTCGACCCTACCTCGATCCCACCCCAGTTCCATCCTAACCCAGAGTCGAACCCTACCCGATCCCTCCCAGACTCCAACCAGATCTCGCGTCGAACCCCGTACCAGTACCAACCCCACCCCAACCCCGTTTCGATCTCATCCTGACCCCGATTGGCTCCCACCTCAAACCCAGCTCGATCCAATCCCGACCCCACCCCGACCCCAACACGATCCCTTTCTGATCCCATCTCGATCCTACCTCGATCCCAACCTGGATACATCCCCATCCTACCTCGATTCCACCCCGGGTCCATCCCAATCCAAGTTTGAATCCTACTCGATCCCTCCCAGACTCCAACCCCTAGCGACTTGCACCCCTTAGCATCCTCCCTTCTAGCATCCTCCTAAAGCCTTTCCGAAGGGTACCCAACAGAGACAACGTCCAGAAGCAACAGGAGACAGAACATAGATACATCTGCCACTACACCGAGGCAGGCCCCAACATCCACATAGGATAAGCTCTAATTCACGAGAAAGAAGAGCACAATGGAGGGGATGGGGATTGAGACACAAAACTGGTTGGCAGATCAAACAAAGGTGGAAATGGTGAAAACTGTGAAACTGGTCGAAGTAGAAGAAAACAAGAAAAAGGATGTCATGGTATACGAATATCCAAAGAACGCATTCCGAAACTAGACGAATTCCATGAGAAGCACGCAGTCCTCTTTACCTTCTCCAGGAAGAGCCAAGAGCTAAATCGCCCAGCAAAACTCAAATGGTTGTGGGAGAAATTGAAGAGTCTGGAACCTGTACAAGGAAATGAGCCAAAAGTCTCCTTTCATCCATGAACTAGGAATGTGATCATGGTCATTTGTGAGGACTCAGCTTTTGCAGATTTCTTGAGGAACAAAACATTCACCTGCAATTCCTCAATTGTCACAGCCCATCCATGGAAACCGGATATGCCCTTCCAGATGACGCCCTCACGCTATAGGCAGTCTCTGATGAAAAAATACTTTTGGGTGCAATTTGACAATGTACTCGAAGGTCTGCACGGAGGAATTAAACAGAGACTACAAATGGAATACGGTCAGTACAAAGTGATTGATTGGATTGTGGCAACACCAGATTTCCTAGTCCCGCAGCACAACACGATGACAGTGTGCTTGGACCTGGGCAATGGTCTCCCACCACAACTACCAGACCACTGGTTTTTCGAAGTGAGCGACAGAACAGTCAAAGTGACAGTCTCGTCCAAGAGCAACCCGCTGTGCTTCAAGTGCAGGCAAAGAGGTCAATCTGGGTACGAACTCAGGTTGTCCAAGGAACAATGAGACAGCCAAGCCCAAAATATTGAAGCAAACAAGCTTGGCTGAGGTGGAAGGGAAGCCGGACTTCTGGTACGTCAGGAACCCGGATTGGGTCTGGATCATGGAGGGAGAACCAACCCCCAGACCTGACATCTACCCTCCATCAGATAGCAGATGGCACACACTGAAAATAGAGAAGAAATCGGCCAAAGTCTTCACCAAGGACCCAACACTCAACCTGGAAAAAATCGAAGAAGAAAGATGCCTCAAAGATCTGATCATGGATCTCAATGAAACGGGGGACATCGCAGAAAGGGAATGGATGGAAAGGAAGAAGAAAAAAACACTGAGGGTAAAATGGAGACAAACGGGAGGGAACACAAAACTCTGGAAACATACACCAGGAGAGGCACACGCATAACTCTGTTACAACAACAAGAAGAAACTACAGGGATGGAGGTGGAAAGCCTAACAGCGCAGCAAGGAGAGAGTGGTAAGATTCAACAAGCAGCGGATGCCGAAGGCAAAGTAACACAGTGGTAGAGAAAAGAAAGAATCCGGAAGAAAGGAAGGTGACAGCAACAAAGAGGATGCAAATAGAAGAAGTAGAAGAGGTCAGAGATCAAAGCAGCGAGGAAGAATATGAACCATGGGCAGATAATTCTTTGAAAGAGATAAAGCTTTATATTCAAAAAGCGAAGAGAGAGAGGGACGCAAGGTTTGAACTCCAAATAGCCTATTTCAGGGAGGAAGGGAAACTCGGACAGAGGACGAAGGCAGGAAACCTCACTCACACCTTCCCTCTTTCAATGAACCCCTATGCACCATTAGAGAACGAAGAAGTCATAACCTTCTACGCGGAACAGTACTGCAAAACCAAGAAAGAGCAGACTTCAAAAGAAAAAGAGACAGATCCGAAGAAGGTAAGCAACTGGAGGAAGGACAAGTTCAAAATGCCAACACTCCCTGAAACGTACAATAAGAAAAAGAAAGAAGAAACCCAAAGTAGACCCCTGGACAAGGAAGGGAAGAAACAGGAAGGACAAACGGAAACAAAGGAAGGGGATACAGGGAAGGAGGGTACCGGAGGAGGCCCCAACAGAGAGGTGGAGGAAAGGAAGCATCTGGTCCTGCAAGCAGAAGTTATGTCAGCACAAATAGACAGGTTAAGCCAACTCAATGATGAGCTCATGATAAAGACGATAATAGTTGAAGGCCTTAATGACCAATCACAATTCGTATTCTGGGAGAAGGCAAAGCAAGAGAGCAGAACGCTGCTACCCACAAGAACAGTGATTCCACTGAAAATGAATGCCATCACAGAGGAGTGACAAATTGCAACTTCCACCAGCCTTTCCCTGCTGAAACTGGAGAAATGTCAAAGCAGGAACGAACTTCTGACAAAGGCAGTGTCAGGAGCAGAGCCATTGGCAATCGGTCTGGTTGGGGAACCCCTGAAAGTACAAGAAATTGGGGACAGAGGAGAGACGAAGGAAGGGATCAGCCTAGATACAAGACCAATCCTGGTGATGTATGGGTCAGATACAAAGTTGGGAGAAGACATGCACTGGAAACCATGGTGGGAAGTAGCGTTGCTCCCTTATACGACGCTGGGGACAGAAGCAACGATAGTATCAACTGCAGCAAGCATAGCAACAACATTGGCAGCAAAAATCTTTAGCAAGGGGGCAAAGGGACTAAAAAAGTCCCTGCAGGCACTAGAGGAAGACGCGGGAGAACCCTCCTTGAGCCAAGAGCCAATGCAGCTCCCCTCCCTTTCCCTCTAAACGAACAAAACCACGCAGAAACGGATAAACCTCTAACCTGGGGAAATGCCCGAAGGAAGAAGCACCCTTGGAAGCAGACGTGTGAGATATCCTAGGGCAAGCAACAAGGGAAGAGGGGAATTAGAAATAAGGTCATGGAACGTGAGAGGACTAGCAACCATACTGTCAACACCTTCTAAATGGCACAACTTCGTAGACATGACAAGATGGATGGACAACAATCCACTAGACATCCTGTGTATCCAAGAGACTCACTTGACCACAACAGATGAACACCAACGTATCCTCAACGAAATACTAAGAAGACTAAAACACATTAAACACATGGAATGGGCAGTCAGCCCGAATGCGGCCTCGACAGGAACTTTAACATTAATACATGAAAAATCGGAGGCTTCACAATTTTTGGAAATAGAGGGTTCTACAAGAGACGCTCAGGAGGGCAGATGGACAAAGACAGATTTCACATATAAGGAAGAAGAATTATCATTAATTAACGTATACGCCCCCAATACAAACTCCCAAAGAAAGGTTTTTCTAGGGACAATCAGTCAGGAGTGCCCTAACCACAAACACCTAATCCTAGCAGGAGACTGGAATGCCACGAGGGACAATACAGATGACTCAGAAACTCACATAATGCTAGAATTTCTCACAGAAAAAGACCTGAGAGATCCGTTCAGAATGCTCAACCCAACAACAAAGGACTTCACATGCATATGAAAAACCAATCAAGGAAGAACCTCCTTCTCTCGGATTGACTACTTCCTCACCTCTGAATCCTTAGAAGGGGCAGTCAAGAGAGCAAGCATATTCAAAATTCCATATTACGAGGGTTTTGACCATAATCAAATAGGACTACATCTACATTTCTCATTGGACAATTCACAGGGCAAAGGTTTCTTCAAGTTAAACATCTCACTATTAACCCTGGACCATTTCAAAAGGGGAGTAAAGCAAGTTTGGGAAGAACACAAACGGGAGGTAGAGACGAGGGGAATAATAAACTTAGTCCCGAAAGCAATATTAGAAGTCAGCAGATGGCTAAGTAAGGCATCAAGAATAGAGGCTAGGAAGAGGAAAGCAAGGCAAGAGATGCTAGAGGCAGTGGTGGGAACAGCAAAATTCAACCTAATAGAAAACCCAGGATCCCTTATGTATGAATTTTTGCTAGAGGAAGCGACAGAGGAACTCAAAAAATGGCCAGAATGGAATAGACAAGGACTAGCCATCAGAGCCAGGGTGAAAGACTGGGAAAGCAATGAGTCTATGACAAAGTATTTTTTTCAGAAAATCAAATGAAACTGCAGAAATAGCCGAATCAGCGGACTGAAGGGAAACGAGGGTTGCGCTCGTTATAGGACTTAACCCAACATCTCACGACACGAGCTGACGACAGCCATGCAGCACCTGTATGAAGTCAAAGTACATCTCTTACGAGGAGTTTCTTTCATATGTCAAGGGCTGGTAAGGTTTTGCGCGTTGTATCGAATTAAACCACATGCTCCACCGTTTGTGCAGGTTTCACACCCTTGGTGATTACTCGAGTCCTCTCCGAACCGTACGAGATAGTCACCTATCATACGGCTCAACGCACCACCCTAACCACCCAAGAGGGCATCATCCAAGTTGCCACAAAATTCTACCAAAACCTCTACACCTCAAGATCAGTAGACTTCAATCAAGGAGAGGTAAACAAAGCAAGAGAAAAATTCCTAAAGCACCTGGACGTCAGCATAAAACCAAAAGAGGCTAAACACCTTGACAAGGAACTCTCTAAACAAGAACTATATGAGGCCCTAAGGAGCATGCAACCAAACAAAGTACCCGGGAGAGACGGACTGACCAAAAAATTATGGATGGAGAATTGGCAAGTAATGGGGGAAGACCTATTCAAAGTCTTTCAGGAAACCTTTCAAAGAGGGACCTTAGGGACGGAGATGAGCACAAGGGTGATCACTCTCTTGTATAAGAAGGGGGATAAAGAAGACATAAGAAATTACAGACCTATTACTCTATTACCAGTGGCCTACAAGATACTAGCAAAAACACTAGCTAATTGCATAAGAAACGTTACAGATAAGTGCTTCCACATCGATCAAACAGGCTTCATCCCAGACAGATACATACTAGACAACGTAGTGTGCCTAAACGAAGCCACCAAGCTAATAAGAGAAAAAAGGCTACAAGCGGCCATACTTTTCTTTGACTTCGAGAAGGCGTACGACCAAGTTAACTCGGACTTCCTACAACAAGTATGGAACGGATGGGAATAGGCCCAAATTTTAGAAGATCAGTAAGGGTGCTCTACGCCGATGCTATGGGTATGGTACAAATAAATGGGCACTTGTCGGACACCTATAGAATGACCAGATCG